AGTTTTTTTTTGTGGGGTTGATGGTAAATAGTTGCAAAGATGTAAAATTTCCCCATATTGATCTATAGACTCAATGCAATTCCAGCAACAACAACAACAACAACAAAAAACTCAGTAGCTTGTTTTGTAGAAATTGAAAAACTGGGCTGGGGATTTAGCTCAGTGGTTCTGCCACCTGCCTTGCAAGTGCAAGGACCTGAGTTTGATCCCTGGTACCAAAAATAAAAAAAAAAAAAAAAAAAAAAAAAAAAAAAGAAGAAGAGGAAAAAAAAAATTGAAAAACTGATTCTAAAATTGAAACAGAGACACAAAAGATCTGGAATAGCAAAAACAACTGAGAAAGAATGGAGTCGAACTTACACTGTTTTATTTCAAGACTTTATAAAGGCTTAATAATCAAGACTGAGGCATATTAGCACAAAGACAGACAAATAGATTAGTGAATCTAGTAAATTAGCTCCCACATATATGGACAACAGAGTTTTTGACAAAGATATAAAGGCAATTCAAGAGAATCTCTGATAGTAGTGTTGTTGGAATATTTTGATATACGTGTAAAACAATAAATGGGTTTATATGTATGGCAAAACTTGCCAAGTTGTACACTAAATGCACAATTCATTGTATGTCATTTATACTCAATATAGTTGTTTTAAAAAACATGAAAATTTAATTCCTGATAAATCATTGTGTAATTGTCAGAATTCTTCCAAATCATAAACGGAATATCATCGGAATTGGGATCTTCTGTGAGTGGACAACCATTGAAGAGTCCAAATTTGGTCAAGGTCCTCTTCCCTTGGTGAAGGCCCAACTAGTAAGTTTAGATTCTACCTTTACCTTCCTTTGAACATGAAAATTTTTCTTACTGTATACAACTGCAATTAGTGATCAAAACTAAGGGTCTCTTTCCCTTAAAAGATTTTCAACTTTGAAAATAGAAAAATAATTTTCTAAAATAAATTTGAATTTTAGAAAGATCATTTATCCACATTTTTTTCCTGCCATTCTTGATAATCTGAATTTATACTGTTAGAAAAAAAATTTTCCCCTTTCAGTGCTGGGGATCAAAACCAGAGCATAAAACATGCTAGACAAGTGTTCTACAACTGTGCTATACCCCAATCCTTGAGTTTATACTATTATATTATTCTGGAAATTTTATTATATATAATGTCAAATTATGCTAGGGAGTTTAAAGGAGTCCTAGAATCACTCAGTAAAATTCTTTTTTTTTCCCTTACTGAGTTTATTGGTACATTTTAGGTATACAGTACAGTTACATTCATTTTTGGGATCTTGTACCTTTACAGGACAGATCTTGGTTCTCATTTTTTCCCCTTGTCCCTGCCTTCTCTTCACCCCCTCCTCCCCTCCCCATGTTCAAACACTTTATTTCCATTTTTTCATTTTCTCATATTTTTTTCCTTTCCCTTATTACCTTTCCCCTACCCTTCCCACTTTCCCTACACCTTTAGCCCTTTTCTTCCTATTTCACATTGTCAATTATCTCATTAGTATCTTATGTACTGTTATAGTTTTTCACACCAGAGAAACTATTTGGTATTTATACATGTGTGACTTATTTATTTCACTTAGGAGTATATCCTCAATATATATCCATTTTCCTATGAATGAATCTAATTTCTCATTCTTTATGGCTGAGTAGTATTTCATGTTATAGAAAAACCACATCTTCTTTATCCAGTTTCTAACTGATGGGTAAATGAGCTGTTTCCAAGTTTTAGCTATTACAAACTGTGCCGCTATATTCACTCAGTAAAATTCTAAGGGCAAATTTTAGCTTTAACCTATTCTGAAAGCATAAGTGATTAACATTAACAATTGGGTTTGGTTTAATGATTAAGGATTTTGTCATTCAAAAGATCTGGTCTAAATATACAATGAACAGATAAAAAATACGATACATACATATAATGGCATATCATTCTTCCTTTAAAAAGAATGAAAGTTTGATATGTGCTATAACATTGAGTAGGCCTAAAACATGGTAAGTGAAACAAATCAGATGCAAAAGGGCGTGTATTACATGAGTTAACTTATACTAAATGTCTAGAATTGTAAAAATTGCAGAGCTAAAGGTAGAAGAGTGGTAACCAATGGCTAGGAGGAGAAGAAAATGGAGAATTATTGCTTAACAGGATAGAGTTTTAGTTGGGGCTAATAAAAAAGGCTTAGAGGTGGATAGAGATGGTGAATACCCAACAATGTGAACGTACTTACTGCCACTGAAGCATACACTTAAAATGGTAAGTTTTATGTTTTTACATACACTAGCACAATTTTTAAAAAGGCTCGGATGCTATTTCAGTCATTTGAAAGTTATGAGACTTTGGGTTGTATAAACGCTGCAAGTTCCTCATATACAAATAGGAATAATGATACCTCATAGGGTTAGGTTGGGTAAAAGCTAAAAATAAAATTAACACACAATCCAGTGATCTTATTTCTGGGCTTAGAGGCAAAGAAATTGAAGTCGGTAGGTTGAAGGGATAGCCGAACTCCCGTGTTCAATGCAGCACTAGGTGCAGTAGCAAGACACAGATGCAAACTACGTGTCCATCAATTGGTGAACAGATAAAGAAAACGTGGTGTACGCACAGCCTTTAAAGAGAGGGAAAGTCCGTCATTTGGAATAACATGAATCGGTCTACGTCCACACCACCCTGAACGCGCCCGATCTCGTCTGATCTCAGAAGCTAAGCAGGGTCGGGCCTGGTTAGTACTTGGATGGGAGTAGCATGGATCGAACAGAAGGGACATTATTCTACGGAAAATAAGCCAGGCACAAACTAGTACTATATATAATCTCAATTACATGTGGAAACTGAAAGGTTTCTCTTGCCAGATACGGTGACATATGCATATAATCCCAGCATTTAGCAGATCTAGGCAGGAAGATCATAAATTGGAGGCCAGGCTGGTCTACAGAACAAGTTCAAGGCCACCCTGGACTACATAGTGAGATCCTGTCTCAAAATAAAGCTTCACCTCATAGAAATTATAGAAGTGTGGTTACCAGGAGCTGGTAGCTAGGGAGAGGAAAGAAAAAAGAGAAGCTGTTGATAAAAGGAACAAAGTTTCAGTTGGACTGAAAGAATAAGCTTTAGAGTTTTGCTTTTGTTTTTGTTGAGACAGTGTTACTATATAGTTCAGCCTGGCCCTGAGCTCACTATGTAGCTCAAGAGGGCCTTGAACTCTCAGTGATTCTCTTGTCTCTGCCTCCTGAGTGCTGGATTATTAGGCATGCACCACCACATCCAGCTTTAGTGATCTATTGTACCACATGGAGGGCACAGTTAATAAGAAAGCATATTTCAAAATTGCTAAAATAATTAATTTTTAACATCCTCCCCACAAAAAATTGACAAGTTGGTGAGGTGATGGATGTTAGCTTATTTGACTCTTTCCTCAATTTATACATAGATCAAAATATTACTCTGTATCCCATAAAAACACTCAATCATTATTTGTCAATTAAGAATAAATTGATGGGCCGGGGATTTGGCTCAGAGGTTCCACCGCCTGCCTCACAATACAAGTATCCAAATTCCATCCCCAGAACCAATAGATAAATAAATAAAATAAATTTATAAAAAAATAAAAGTTGTAAGATTGTGAGTTACATGAGGACCACAACTACCAAATAGGAATAATAATACCAATCTCACTGGGTTTTTGTGAGAGTTATACGAGATAAATTATGCAAAAAAAATTTTGTTTTGAGGCAGTGTTTCACTATTCCAGGCTATCCCTGAACTCAGTAGGTATCCTAGGCTGGCCTTGGACTCACAGCAATCCTCCTGCCATGGCCTCCCAAGTGCTGGCATTATACCATGCCTTGCTAATTATGTGAAGTATTTACACAGTCTTGTTGTTTAAGCGAACATGAAGAAATCACAGCTATGATTATAAACATGTATTTATTTACTGCTATATCTCCAAGGTCAACAACTTGTTGAATGCACAAGTGAAGAAACAAATAAATTACAGGGCACTTTCTTCAGTGTATCTAAAATATGAGAACAATGACAATAAAATGGCTATTAATATTTGTATACCAGTTGAGACTTCACAGAGCACTTTCACATGCATCACTCAGTAGGTTTGAGAATGTGTACTGCTCCCAACCACCAGCATCACACAACACAGGGCAGCAATTAGTGCTTTGCAGGCAAGAAGAGGGAATACAGGAAATTTAAACTTTCATCCAGGTTGGGCCCAGGGTCTTCTCCATAGACAGTGCAGCATTACCAAAGGGGTGGGAGAATGTGTTGCATGTAAGAGCACATGAAGTGAAGTGCTGGTGGGTGGCAGCACATTTTGGTGACTTTGCCCCACAGATCCTCCTTTCCCACACACCTAAAAATGAGCTACCAATCCTCTGGCAAGGTGGGATTGAAGTGGGAATTCACAACACATCGGCTAAGGGCTCTTTTGATGGTGAGTGAGAGGGAGAGTGAGAAAGAGGGAAATGTGACATTGATTACCTCGAGGGACAAGGCACAGTCCTCATCTTGTCTCTGTTGCTGTGAAAAAGCACCAGGACAATACAGGGAGGCGTTCCCTTCCTTGGACGATGCGCAAAGTCACCCTCCTCCTCTACACTTACCTGACATTGCACTTTAGGTGGGGTGGGCATGGATGGGGCAAAATCAGACACAGACAAGAGATACAGACAGTGCAAAGTGGAGCAGATCGGATCTACACTGTGACTTTTGCTAGAAGCCCAAGAGGAAGGCTGGAGATGTAGCAAGCACTAGAATGATGCCTAACCTGTGTGGGGTCCTGGTTCCATTCCCCAGTACCATGCCAGAAGGTGGGGAAGCACAGAAGAGAACAGTGATTTCAGCAGCAAGTGAGGAAGTCAGGAAGCCACAGGCCAAGAAATGAGGACGTCTTTCTTTATTGCTGTAGAGTGTTTTGCAGCAGTGAAAAGGAGGCTACATAGTTTTCGGTCCATTGTTATCTGTGGCAACTCTTCCTTCTACAATTCTCTGGGCTGTCCTTTGTTTATTTTTATGGACCAGGTTTTTGTCAAGCGTCATCTTCTCTCTACAAAATAGAAGTTTGGCCTTTAAATTCCCTTGCTGAAGTGTGTACCAAATTCTCATTTCCTTTAACATGTAAGAAGTGAGTCACAGAAAAGCTATAGAGCCATACAATCATCCCCAAAAGTGTTTGAATCAAAGCTTTAGTGAGATAACTCCAACCTCTAACTGTATGACAAGCGCTTGGTTCTCCCAATGCCTTCATCATGACAGAGATGATCCTCCTGTAGTCTCCTTTGTTGTACACCTGTCTGAGATGCTCTTCTCAGCTCTAATGAGTGAGTCTACAGACACATGTCACTGGTCCTTTCTCTTTAGTCCTCTGACCTCAGATAGCATGCTGCCAGATTCTGTCTCCATCGTTATTGCAGAAAGTTCTATCTTTAAAGGAAGATGCCTTTTTGTAATCCTCTAAGAACTCCAGCTAGCTTGGCAAAGGTTGTAACTCTTTATTCTGGGTTGTTCTTAGCTTTATTTTTTCAGGGTACTGGGAATCGAACTCAGGGCTTTATGCATGCTGGGCATATGTTTTACTACCTAGCTTATACCTCTAGCCTTTGGGATGTCTCTTTTTTAAAAAGCAACACCTTACAGCTACCTATTTCTTCATGCAAATCCCCCAAATCCTTAACTACTATGCTCAAAGACTTCCTTAGGAGTCATAAGTACTACAAGTAATACTTGAAAAGCTTGATATTAAGAATTATGAAAATAATATTAATTATACCTGGTAAGAATCCTTAAAATTAACACAGTTTGCAAAAATGAACATCAAAAAGTCAATAGATTTTCTATATATAATGAACTAGCTGAGGAAGAAATCAGAAAAATAATTTTATTCAACATAGCTTTTTAAAAAACCCTATGAATCAACGTAAGCAAGGAGATAAAAAAAGGCCTCTTCAGTGAAAATTATAGAACACTGAAGAAGGAAATTGAACAAGACACAAAAACATCGAGAGAGCTCCCATGTTCATGGGTTGGCAGAAATAATTTGGTTAAAATGGTCATGTTACCAAGAACAATCTACAGATTTAATGCAATTCCTATCAAACATCTAAAGACATTCTTTATGTAACTACCAAAAATCTACAATTTTCATGAAAACATAAAAGACCCAGAATACGCAAATCATCCTAAGCAAGAAGATCAAAGCTGGAGGCATCACAATACCGCCTTTCAAATTGCACTGTAGAGCCACAGTAACAAAAACAGCATACTATGGCATAAAAATAGACACATAGACCAGTGGAGCAGAATAGAGGACACAGAAACAAACCCATGCAACTCTAGCCATTTGACTCTGGACAAAGGAGCCAAAATATATGTTACAGTAAAAGACAGCCTCTCCAGCACACGGTACTGGGAAAACTAGATATTCACTCATAGAAGATTGAAACTAGATCTCTGTCTCTCACCTGTACAAAAATCAATTCAAAACAGATCAAAGACCTAGACGGAGGACTCAAAACTTTGAAACTGCTAAAAAAAAAAAAAACCATAAGGAAACACTTGATGTCATTGGCACAGGCAAGACTTCCTGAACAGACTTCAGTAGTTCAGCAGAGAATAACAAGAATCAACAAATGAGACTCTAACATTTTTCCAAGTTTCTGAACAGCAACAAAAACAACCAACAGAGTGAAGAGATAATTTACAGAATGGGAGAAAATCTTTGACAGATACTCTTCTGACAGAGGATTAATACCTAGACTATATAAAGAACTAAAAAAAAAAAAATCAAAAAACTTAAATAGCTTCACCACTAAATGGGCAAATGCATTGAACAGATACTTCTCAAAAGAAGTATAAATGACTAATAAGTATATAAAAATTTTAAAAATATTTTTAGCCACTTGAGAAATGCAAATCAAAATTACATCAAGATTGTATCTTATCCAGTCAGAATGGCTAGCATCAAGGGTACAAAAAGAATAACTACTGGCAAGATTGTGGACAGAAATGGAAATACTTCTGCAATGCTGGAGGAATGTAAATTAGTACAGCCACTATGAAAATCAGAAAAAGAGTTTCTTCAGAAAACTAAAAATAGCTGCCATACAACCCAGTTATACCACTCTTGAATATACCCGAAGAAATTAAAGTCACCATACCATAGGGTTAACTGCATGACCATGTTTATTGAGGCACAATTCACAATAGTCAAGGAATGGAATCAGCCTAGATGCCCATGAACAGATAAAAAAGAAATGAAAAGGATCCATAATGGAGTATTATCCAACCATAAATAAGAAATTATGTCACTTGCAAAAAAGGAATGGATGGAACTGAGGATTATCATGTTAAGCAAAATAAGTCTGACTCAGAAAGACAAGTATCTCATGTTTTCCATAATATGTGGAATAAAAAAAAAAACTACATGAAAGTAGAAGGGAGACTATTACTAGACAAGAGGAAGGAAATAAGGCGGAGTGGGGAGGTGGTGTGGGAGAGGGGAACGAGGGTATAGAAAAGTTGTTCATTATGTTATTAAGAGATCATGACATTGACATGAATTTATGGAGGTGAAAAGGTATCCACTACACACCATGAAGTAAAGCAGCAGGTTGCAAAATTGGCACTGCCATTTTTTAAAAATGCATATATGTAGAGAAATATCAAGAAATTTTCTAGAGTGATATTCACTTACTTGTTTTAATCTCTTAGAGTGAGGTGCTGAGCACATTTTTGCTTAAGAGGTTTCTTTTGTTTTGTTTTGTTTTTGTACCAGGGATCAAACTCAGGACCTTGCACTTGCAAGGCAGGCAGCAGAACCACTAAGCTAAATTCCCGGCCTCTTAAGACTATTTTTTGAATTGGGCTTTTACACCTTGTTTCTAAGCAGAGGAGATTAAGAAATGCTGTAAGGATGTGAGGTGCTGGATTGCTAACTAATTTGATTGTAGTAATCATTTCACAGTGTATATTATCTCAGAACGTGGGGTTGTACACTTTAGATATATGTAATTTTATTTGTATAATCAACAAATAAAAAGGTAAAAGGGAAAAATTAACAGAAACTTCTTGAAAGAACATTTGTATGACTCAAACATTTGTATGACTTCAGAACACATGAAGTGAGTGGTCTACTAGAAGATACTGACAACATTTTACACGGACACAAATTTCTGGTAGTTTCTAAGGCTTCTGGTGTCTCTTGAGAAAAATATGTATCTGTTGTGATCAGATTCTAATCACAACAGTAATATACATGCACTTTGCTACTCTGGAATTAAGAAGCAACTGAGGCAGAGAGAATACTGATAAAGGCGGTTAATGATAATGTAATGGTATCTACAGGTAGTACAAGTTTCCCTGCAAGAATGGCCTCAGGGCAGGTGGAGGCTACGTGTGTGTTAATAGGAAAAAGGTATTAGGGAGGAGATGGGATTCAAAATGTATGAAGGAGGAATAGATGGGTGAGGAGAGGGAGAGAGGGAGAGAGGAAGAGGGAGAAGGAGAGGGAGGGAGAGAGATGGTACTTAGAAGGAGATTCTGGAGGAGTATGTGGGGAATACTAGGGCTGTAATAATAGCAGTGCTTCACAGGCTGGGTGGCCTAAACAACAAACATTTATTTCCTCACAGATCTGGAATCCAGGAGTCCAAGATCAAGGTATCGCCATGGTTAGTTTCTTCTGAGCCCTCTGACCTTGGCTTCTAAGTGGTATCTTCTCACTGAATCTTTACATGATCTTCCCTCTGTATCCATGTCCTAACCCCTCCTTTTCTTCCAAGGACACGAGTCATGTTAGATTAGGGCTTGTCCTCGTGTTATGATTTGGCTGTGGCTTAACCCTCAAAGGTTTGTGTGTAGGAAGTGTGGACCCTACTGTGGTGGTGTTGAGGCAGTGGAATCTTTAATAAGTGGATTACGCTGGTGTCTAGGATAGACTGGGTCTCTCAGGAATGAGTTCTTACAAGAGCACATTGTTATAAAGGTGAGATCGCCCCACGGGCTTGGCTTCTTCTATACTTGGCCAGTTTCCTTTCTGCTTTCCTGCCATATTGTGACATAGTTGGGAGCCCTCAGTATATTGACACCATGCTCTTTGGACACCCCACCCCTTGCCATCAGAATTGTAAACCAAAAAAACCTCATTTACTTTATAAAGTACCCCACATCAGATATTGTGTTATAGCAACACAAAACAGACTAAGATATCATATGACCTTATTTTGCCACAGCAACTTCTTGAAAAGGCCTATCTCCAAATACACATTCTCAGATACGAGGGGTTCAGACTTCAGCATATGAATTTTTAAGGGACCAAATTAATCCCATAAGAAGGAGTAGTTTGAGTAGAGGCATGAAGAGGTGAAACTACATGATGATACTATTTTCTATAGCTAAAGCACAATGTTTTTCTTGAGCAGTAAAGAGGAAAGAGACAGGAAATAGGACTCACAGGCTTAAGGGTCTTGTCTACCAAGGTAAGAAGTTTGGATTTTATCTTGGAAATGGAAGAGCCATGAAAAGTTTAAATTATGGAACTGCCACAACTAAGTTTTTTTTTGTTGTTGTTGTTTTGTTTTGTTCCCTTTTCCCCCCCTGGTACCAGGGATCAAACTCAGGACCTTGCTCTTGCCAGGCAGGCACAGCGCCACTGAGCTAAATCCCCAGCCCTATCTAATCTTATGCCCTATCTGCATTGCAGAGACCAGATTAGAGAGAAGAAATGTGTTTGAAGGCAGAGAAACTAATTAGGAAGTTAAAGGTGAATCTAGATACTGCGAATATTACAAGAAGGTTTTTAAGATGTTAATATACAGACCCTGTGAGAGGAGAATCTGAAGCCCGACATGAGAAGGGTGACAGAAGTAGAATTTGGAGGGGGCTGAAACAGCACAAAAGGGACGGAGAAGGGAAAGGGACATCAGTGAAGAAACGAGGAAAGATGTAAGGATGACAAGATATTCAAGTAAGTTCATAGGTGGAGGAGAGTTATTCTCCACCTGGTGGTCTCTATTTCTTTTTCTTCTGTTCAGAGAATGGTGGATAAAGGCTGGGACTTGAGAACAGTAAAGATTTGAAGTATCCACTGTGAATACAAAGGGAATGGAACAATTTCTGAGCCACTTGAAACCCCAGCAGAAGCAAGACTTTTACAAGTGTGTAAAGAAGTTGGAAGCAGGTTGTTTTTGTGTGGGTGACTAAATGGACAGAGGAAGCCAAAGTCTTGGCCTGAGGGAAGTGACCACTTGGGACCAGGCATGAAAAGAAGGAAGGATCCAGGAGGGGCCAGAAGTCTCAAAACCTAAGGCATTAGAGCTAGAGGTAAGGCTGAAGAGTAGGCTTCGTGACAAGAACATATGGGATGAGGGAGAACAGGGAATGGTGGTGAAAAATGAGGTTTCTGATGAAAGACTTGAGAGAGGAGGAGCGGTTCCAGGAGAGGAGATACTGTGAGATTACACAGGAGAGATTTATTTACATTATGCCTAAGGAAACATTTCCTAAAAGTTCTGTCAACACGGCTCTGTTGTTTGATTTTGGGGGGCTTAGGGAAATATTGAAAACCTCTGTTTCCTAAGGAAGATGAAAGTGGGAAGATGGGGCTCTGAAAAGAAAGTACATCTGGGGACCATTAATTATATGTAAAAACAAAACACCCTCAGAACGAGAAACAGGACAGGGGAGGTGAGCACTCTGATCCTTGCTATGGCAAATAACTAGCTAGAAATGAATTCTTTGCCCAAATCTTCATAATAAGGCAATTTTATTTGGCTTATATTTCCTATAAATCTTGAAACAAGAGCACTTTTATTTAAGTTTTTTTTATATAAATTCCCCCTGCCCCTGAAAAACAGCTTGAATTCTCTTTTATGTTCCTGTCATCCTCCTGGGCTTATGAGTTTGATTAGTAAAGTGTACCTGTAATTTCTAATTTCACACTCTACATTTTATCTAAGTATTCATTATTGGCTTAATTTCTCCCTCCGGAAATAAATTTTCTTTTAGATAGCTTTCTTTTCCAAAATATTGTCTGCAGTCTTAAAGCAAATTTGAAAAAAGAGAAAAAAAAAACCCTAAAGTAAAATCATAAACAAATGTTTGCCTCATTTGGGATATTCTGCGGGAACCTTTAGTTTACATTGAATAATAATATTCATACCCAAAAAGTGAAAATAATCCAATTGCCTATCAATGATAAATGTATAAATGAAATGTGATATGTCAACCTTAGAACAAACAGATATAAAAAGGGACAATTCACTCTCCCTGCTTGGATGCTTATGCTGGGACATCAGACTTCTCTCCTTGATTGGGATTTATACCACAGCCTCTGGTTCTCAGAACTATACTACAGTCTTTCTGAGTCTCCAAACTGCAGAGGTCAGACTGTGGGATGACTTAGTCTCCATACTCACGTTAAGCCAATTCCTCATAAGAAATCTCTGCCATCTGTCCATGCATCTATCCTATTGGTTCTACTTTCTGGAGAATCTTAGTACAATGACAGAAGCCAGATATTAAAAGTCATAAATTGTGTGGTTCTTTTTACATGAAATGTCCAGAATAAGCAAATCCTACGGTAGAAAGCAGATACCTGATTTCTGAGTGGAGTTTAGGGATGAGGGAACAGGGGGATGGGTGATTGCTCAGAGTTTCAGAGTTTTCTTTTGGGGTAATGTAAATGTTCTAGAACTAGATGGTGGTGCGGATTGTATATCATTGTGACAGTACTAAAAAATAACAGTTGTACACAATAAAAGAGCAAGTTGTATGGTATGTGAATTTCTATATTTCTATAAAAATAAAGTGAATAAAAGTACTAAATATTAGAGTAAGGTTTGTATGACACAATTTAATATCTCTATGGCTAGTTTATTTTGTCTTGCTATACTCATTTATCATACCTAAGCTATTAAATTATCAAATTTAATATTATAAAAAATTGGGCCAAATGAATCTGTTGGTCATGGGGTCTCATTGTGTAGTCCAGATTGGCTTTGAACTCACTATGTATCCCATACTGACCTTGAACTTGTGATCCTTCTTCAGCTCCCAAGTGCTTGGACTACAGCACCACCATGTCCTGCTCATAGTTCCTTTCTGTTTGAATTTCATATTTCTGCATACATCAAATATTTCCTACTTATGCCCATAATTTGAAAAGAATTACTACACAGGCCAAGCCCTTAATGCTGAATATGGACATAGACTCCATACATCAAATTTCTAGAAGAGGATCAATGGGTAGTAATCGCTGTGCTAATGACACATTCTCACTCTGCTTTGGGGGACAAATGAGAATCTATTGAGGTATCATTTTATAAAGAAAAGTAGCTGATTAGGTGAAAGGAGACATTAATTTGGCTTAGGAATAAAATTTTCTTCTTCATCCAGAACAACTAGATGCATTTATTTCCTTTGGGGGGAAAAAAAGGAATAAAGAAAGGAAAGAGAAAAAAGAAGAGGAAATTTAGCAATCTTGCAATATGTCTCCTAACATTCCTTGAGTACCTGAAATAGGATTTGAGTTTGAGACCCGTCCTTGGTTTAATCAGACATTGTTTTAGTTCATATTCTGTTGCTATAAGAAAATACCTGAATCTGGGTACTTAGCAAAGAAGAGGGGTTTATTTAGGTCACAGTTTTGGTGCTGAATGTTCAAGATCAAGTTCCCTTTCTGGTCATCCTCTGGTGAGGGCTCCTTGCTCTGACGCATGGCTGAGAAACAGGAAGAGAAACAGCCAGGAGTAGAAGGAGACAAACTGGTGGGGCAGCTTCACTCTATAATCCACTCTCTCAAGAACCAGCCAGGATCCCTTGCTTCCAAGGGTGGTGCCCTGTAGATGTAGTCACCTCCAGTAGGCCCCACCTTTTAAAGGCTCCTCCAGTTTGAAACCACGTGCTGGGGCCCAAGCTTCCAGTGCTTGAGCCTTTGGGGACACACTTGAATCAAACTCAGACCACAGCAGCCATCTGCCCACTTGAGGGAGTTCACCATGGCATTGAACCCAGAACTCACTTGTCCTCCAATTTACCCCAAATGAGGTGGCTCTACATAGTGATATTCATCGTGATGGCTGGTTCCCCAAGTTCCTCCCCCAAAATCCTTCCCTTTCTTTTTATTTGTTTGTTTGTTTGTTTGTTTATTATGATAGTAGGGAGTGAACCCAGAGCATTATACATGCTAGGCAGGCATTCTGTTCCTGAGCTACATTCTTGGATTTTTTCAAATCATTTTTTAAAATTTTGAGATAGACTTTTGCTATGTTGTCCAGGCTGGCTATCAGTTTGCAATCCAGGCATGCACCACTGAGCCTGGCTTGCCTCTTATTTTTATAAATGGAGATTATAGTTCACTACCCAGCTGCTTTTAGTGCTAGGTATTGAACCCAGGGCCCTGCCCATGCTAGGTGAACACTCTATCACTGAGCTACATTTCCCACATCTCCTGCTTTAATGTGAGCTTGGCTTATGATTTGCTTTGCCCAAGAGAATGCAGCAAAATTGGTTTCTGGAACTTGCAAGTTCAGACACTGAGACAATGGAAGTTCTACTTTCTGCCTCTTGGAGTTCTAAGCTACTAAGCAGTCCAGATTACCCAACTGAAATGACTCTGGGTAATGAGGCATCATATGCAGGGAGAGAGAGGCCACAAGAAGGGATGTAGAAGCACCAGACAAAGAAGTAAAGAAGCGTTTGTGTTTTGCAGGCATGTCTGGGTCAGTTTGGGCTTGAACATTCAGCCACCAAAACTGTGACCTAGCAGAATACCACGGGCTAGGTGGCTTATTAACCACCAAACCTCATTTTTCACACTTCTGGAGCCAGCATGCTTGGGTTCTGAGGAGGGCTCTCTTCCAGTTTGCAGACTTCTTTTAGGGAGAGGGAAAGAGAAGGAGGGAGAGGACTTTCTCTGAGGTCTTTTATAAAGGCGTCTATCCCTTTCATAAATAAGAGCTCCATCTTGCATGACCTAATTACTTTCCAAAGGTCCCACTTTCTAATGCCATTGCATTGGGGGTTAGGGATTCAACTTATGAATTTTGAGGGGGCACAAACATTCAGTCCATCACAAAACCTAACCAGCAGGACTGCAACTGCTCAAGACTCCAAGCAAGATCAGAAGGACTACTCAATTAATAAATATTTGATAATCCATAGAATCATGAGAAGCAATAAAATGGCTATTGTTTTAAATCACTAAAATTTGGTATTTTTGCATAGCAATACATCACAAAATGGAAATTAAAATCATCTGGGGTTGCCACTGTAACAAAAACCTGAAACATGTGGCACCCGCCTTGGGACCAGCTGGTAGGCAGAGACCAGAAGGGCCTTGAGGAAACTATTAATGAGGGCAGAGGACAGTGGTAAAATTGTTATTGGATGCTGGGTAAAAGAAACCCCCTATTTATATAGTGGTAGAAAGTTTGGCAATCCTGTCAACAAGTGTAACATGCAAGATAGAAAACATACCTTGTGGACTTGTGGCTGTGGCTAAGAAGATTTTCAGGCAAAATATTTTAAGCACCAATTGGTTTCTTTTAGCTGCATCTGATGAAACAAGAACACAGAGTCCAACCCAGGATTATGTTGGCAAAGATCAAATCCAAGCTACTGCCAGCTAGACAATAGGACTTTGATTCTCTCTCTGCTAAACAGAAGTATGTCTAAGAATTTAAGGGCATTGTCCTATAGTTCCTGACTCTAAAACCAAGATAAAAGCATTCTGTCCCCAAAAGATATGGGTATGGCTTTAATTTAATGGAGTAGATGATAGTTTGATATACTGGAAGCCCAGATTAAACAAATATTACACCAACTCAGACTGAAGAGACAGGGATATTTTAAAAACTAAAGAGGCCTTGAGACCCTGATCACCTTTGTACAAGAGGCAAGCTAAGAAAACTAAGCTGCAAATATGGGTCATTACTTATGAATAAGAATGACTCAGAAGGCTGCACCAAAGGGCTAGAGCAGCGACAGTGAAACCTATGGCACAGAGTCTGGGAAAACTACTCTCAACAGGCAGTAGTGGGCAAGGGACTTCCTCTGAGCTCCAGTTTGAGAGAAAATGACTGCAGTCATGCAGCTGAATTTCAGAAGTATTATGTCTGGAGACTGCTCTACTCTTTCTATTCCCCAACCCCCTTTTGGGAATGGAAGCGTCTGTTGTGGTTATCTTGTCCCCTTTCACCCTTGCATTTTTTCGTGAAAGTGGGGCAGAGAATTAGTCTTTCTAAATTATAGTCAGGTGCTACATTGCAGAGACCATACCTGGAAGGCTTACTTGTTTGAGGACTTTATTTAAATGATAAGATCCTGGATAGTGGATGCCATGATGGTATGAAAATTTTAAGGTTATAAGAATGAGTGTGTTTTGGGCCAGGGATTTGGCTCAGTGGTTCTGCTGCCTGCCTCGCAAGCACAAGGACCTGAGTTCAATCCCCTGTACCAAAAAAAAAAAAAAAAAAAAAAAAAAAAAAAAGAATAGTGTATTTCACTCATGGGAGAGATCTGAACTGTTCTGGTTAAAGGGAAGTGCTTCAAAGCTTACACCCTACCCCTAATCCCAAATATTTCTTTTACTGGTAGATGCTTCCCACTCCTCAAGAGACAGAGCTCATTCCCTTTCCTTGAATCTGGCTTTGACCAAAAGAATATGGACAAAGAGATGTTCTACGTCTTTTGGAATCAGCAACTTCTGCTTCCTGTTGCCCCTGAAATGCTCCATCTTTAAGTCTAGCCATCATACTGTGAGATACTTAAGGACATTAGAAAAATTGAGGTGTTAGCCTTGGTTGACTAACACCAGATGTCAGACCTTCTGGGTCTTCTGCAGTCCACACCCCTGCTGATAGTATGAGAAGCAGAATAACTACCCAGCAACCCACAGAAATGTGAGTGACACTAAATTATTGCGTTAAACTCTGGGTTATTTTTGAGATGAGAATTTTGCTAAGATGCCTTGGCTAGCCTTGAATTTCAGATCCTTCTGTTTCAACCCCTGAGTAGCAGGGAATTACAGACATAGGTCACTGCTCCTGGCTAAGCAATAAGTTTTGGTTGATACAAGATGGTAAGGGAAGGGAACTAAGTATCTGTAGAATGCTCTCCTTTCGTGCTGGGTAGTAGTATCACTCGGTGCACATCATTTTTGTTAATGCTCATTAAAATTTTGGTGAAGAAGACAGTGGTAGGATTAAGAAATGGGCTGAGACAAGTAAATTAATCCAGAAAATGACATAGCTAGTGAGTGGTGAAGCTAACATCCAAATCTGGACTGTGTTTTCTATGCCTGTGCTCTCTCTAGTACACCAGGACATTCATCAGTATTTTATAATTAATAGAAAAACTTCAAGTTTAACATAGAGAAAAATATAATTTTAAAGAATGTTATTCTGGAAACCTTATTTATATTACTAACTACAGACAAATCTTTATTATACATGATATTAATATATCATATATATTACTATTATATATGTATATATATTATTATGTATATATATATATTTTTTTTAAAATTTGGACATGATCTCCAAATCCTTGCTTTTTCATAATCTCAATAGACTTTTATTAAACTTAATTTCTTCTTTTAGCAAAAAAATCCAGTAAGATTTATTTGTTGCTTATTATGATAATAAATTTCTTTTATATTTGTATGGAAAAATCTTGTTGTTTGTACGATTCTTTGGTGGGCTTAATAGAGTCAAACAATGTGGCAAAAGCTGTTCATTACATTATACTTTCTTTAAAGTTGATATTTATGTGGATATAAAATGTAATATGACAGATACATTTGAGCTGGTGATTTAGCTCAGTGGTGCCACCACACAAGGTCCCAAGATCGATCCCTGGCACACCCCCCCAAATGCATTTGATAGGCATAAAATTCCCTAGATTTTTGACTTTTAAGGACAGAATATGGATTTGTGGACTAATATTAAAAATTTCTCAAGCCGCATTAAATATCTGCTTTAGAGCCCCATGGCTGAGCTGGAATCTGTGGCTAAAGGATAGTAACATTTCTGTAGTTTCCCAAGTTAGCTCATGTCAATTTATTCACAAATTATTGGATATTATATTTAGCTAACAATTCTATACAGAGGAGTCTCTTTGCATTGCCTTAGGAAGATAGTTTTATGTAATTTTTTTTTTTTTTTTTTTTGGTACCAGCGGTTGAACTCGGGTCCTTGCGCTTGCAAGGCAGGCCACCGAACCACTGAGCTAAATCCCCAGCAGTTTTATAAAATTTGAATAATGGTTTTAAGCCAAATTCGTTCTGTTTATTTGCTAGATTACCGTACTTCTCGTAATTTGGCCCATTTCAGGATTATTTTTCCAGTTGGTAAGGACTTCAGTACATTCCAATTATGTATGCTAACGGAAGTGCTGGTGGGAAGAGTCTGCCAGCTGAGCCCCTTTAGAACCTCGTCTCTGTCTCCGCTGCAGCGCACCCTATGCTCCGCCCTAGTCGCGCGCTTATTTACTGGTAACTCTGCCAGGGAGCGGTCTCATGTTTCTCTGAGACTTGCCCATGCCTCCTCATTTGCCCTCTGTACAGTCTTTACCATTCAGCACTAATTCCCGCTTCAGGGTGCCCTCCGGGCATTGCCAGTCTTGGTGCCCTCACATTTTACTCACCCACACTCCACGCCTCACAGCATGTCGATCCTTGTCTCTTTCCCTCATTAGTCTACAAAACTGTTGACGGAAGGATGATACTTTATCCATCTTTATCTCCCAGCCCAGAACAGGCGCTGTGTTCAATAAAGTGCACGTTGCAGGAGAAAACGAAAGGGACCCTGGTTTTAGAAGAAAAGAAGTGGGGAGGGGAGTCAAGCCTTAGAAAGGATTTGCACGGAGAACTGTATAAAAATAGTGTCTGACTTCTCTTTTGAACAGTTTTACTGAGAGATCATTTACTTGCCATAAAATTCACTTAAGGATATTGAACTTCTAGAGGCAGTTAAAATTTATACTCTCTCAGGATAAAACATTTATCATAAGTAGTTGATTGTTTTAAAGAAAAGTTTTCCCCAGTGCTGGAGAACTAACCTTGCTCACACTAGGCAAATGCTCTACCACTAGGTGACATCCCCAGTCGAAGACATTTTGTTTTGTTTGTTTGTTTTGAGACAGGTTTATTGAGGTCCTGGCTGAGAGCCTTGGTTTCCTGCAAGGCAATCCAACGCAAGGCGAAAGAAAGACAGATACAAAACTTAAACAGATAGCAGGGAACTGGGATGGGCCACTCTAGACATGTGGTGATAAGACTGAGTATATGGTGAGGACCTCAAGAAACCAGGTCCATTGGTATTAACTGATTATACAGGTGTGGGTAAGAATAGGGTAGGGGAACACATGTGGCATCTGTGATATCAGCTGGCACAGGCAAGGCTTGTAAGAAAGGAGGATTAAGCATACTTGCAGAAGGAGCAGAGCTGACCAAAGGTCAGCTATGGTTAACTGATAAATTACTGAAAACAGTTAAGGGAGGAGTAGCTCTATGAATAGAAGGTGGTTTGGAGCCAAAGGTCCTCAGCTGCACTAGGAGCCCTGCAGCTTCATAGATCAGGACTTAGACCTCTGTGGCAGCAGTTGGCATGGAAGCTACACTAGCCTGCAGTCCAACCTGCTCCTGTGAGTCACCTAGGCTTTAGTCCAGCTCTGAGTACATTACAGCCAGTTGTGAAGGGAAAATGCCTGTTCCATATTACAGCCTGCTCTGACTTTGGTCATGTGTGTCTGCCACACAGTTTCTCGAAATGCATTCAAGGCAGCCTAGAACTCACTATCTAGTCCAGCCTGGCTTCCAACTCACCGTGGTCCTCCTGCCCCAGCCTCCACAGTGCTGGGATTACAGGCTAGCTGACTGGAACTTTATAATATTATTTTCAAATATACTAAAAAGATCCAACACTCTTAAAAGTTTTAGAGGTGAATCACCTCAAGGTTTAACACAGATTACCAGGCAGTACTTTCAGCAATCCAGGGAAGCTGGACAGATCCAAAAGTTAGCATTTCTCAAAAATTCCCAAAACAAAGCTGCACTGCTAGTTAAGGAATCACACACATTTTAAGAACTACTGATCTATCCATTCTAATAGTTCTATTGGTATTTAACCATATCTGTCATTAATCCTTTTTCTTCTCTTTTATAGTTCTTAGAAGTAAGTCTCAGACATTTCTCTATCATTTCACTGCTAAATATTTCCATATACATCTTAAAAATAAGAACTTTTTTTACTTCTTATCACATTTAGACATTAATATACTCAATATAATTTCATCGATAATCATCCATTTTATGATTATCTCAAAAACACTTTTTATGGCTTATGGAAGTAAGGATTCAAGAAGCAAAGTCAACACGTTCCATTTTGTTGTCAGAACTGTCCCAAATTTCTTTTAATCCACAACAGTACTCCTTTTCTTTTTTTGTGCCACTGACCTGTTAACAAAATTAGATCAGGTACATCATGGCATACCCTACACATTGAATTTGCATAGTTGCTTCTTTATAGTGTCACTTAACTTGTTCTTCTATTCACTGTTTCTTGGAAAATGGGAATTAGAACGAACAGTTCATTTAGATTCAGTTTTAACTTCTTTAGCAAGAATATCTTATGGTAATGTAATGAAATTTAAATTGCATCACATCAAGAAGCATATAATGCCTGGTTGTCTTACTTTTAGTGATGTGAAATCAATTGGTGGATTCAAGGGGTGATCCCTTAAACTTTATATTGTACATTGAACTACCAACTTTTTCCTCATAGTTATATCATTCATTCATTAGTACCGACTAACTCATGCGCAGTGGTTTTCTAAATCTATGATTGCTTTTACATTTTTTAACCAGATTTCTTCCATTAAGTGCTATTTGGTGATTCTAACATACAGTTTGTACAGAACAGACAGGATAGGTAATTTTTCAAAATTTCTGCCTATCCTTACTGAGCTGAGTCCTCCTAAATTCACATGCTGACATCCTCCCTCAGTAGCCATATTTAGAGTAGGTCTTTAAAGAGATAGTTAAGTTAAAATTAGATAATTAGAGTGGGACCTAACTTGATATAACTGGTGACTTTATAGAAAGAGGGAATTTGCACATAAGTACAAAGGGAAGAACATGTGAAGACAGTAGAGAAAAAGGCCACATACAAGCCAAAGACAGGTCTCAGGTTGAAACTAACCCCGTTGACATCTTGATTTCAGACTTTTAGCTTCCAGAATTGTGTAAAAATAAATTTCTATTTCCTAAGGCACCTACTCCATAGTACTTTGTTATGTGAGCCCAAGTAGATAAACAAGTATATTCGTAGCTACTTCTAATGGTAAGCATGACTTTTTAATTTTTTCTCATATCATTATGAAGACATGGATTTTGTAAGGTTGATAGATTTAAATCAGTCATTTTTATTTTGGATGTTTAAATTTTTCTGTATTTGGCTAGAGGAAGCCCCAGAAGAAATTGGTTTTTGTATCACTATGACATAACTCTAGTAGTCTTTGATAACTTCCTTGCTTTCAGGTATAAGATGTCCTTGGACTGTTTGATATATTTTCTGTCCCAGACCTGGCATCAGCTATCTTAAAAATGGTGTAATCTGGGTGTACAGCTGTTAACTGCTACCAGGTTGTCACTGTACTTAAGCTTTTCCAGGAAATAAAAGATTATAGAGCTTTTATTTCCTTATTTTCTGTCTGTAGCTTTCATTAGCATAATTATTTGCTCTATTATATCTACAGAAGTTTCAAAATAGTTTTTACTTATCATCAGATCATTAAATGAAGTTTAAAACTTCCTTTTTTCCTTAGACTTTACATTTCTAAGAACATATAAAGTCTTGTGTTGTAAAAGAATTGAAAATAGTTCTTTTCTTTGTATGGTTATGTCATTAAATTGATATACACTTAACTTCATTTGTTTTAAAACATTTGTTTTGGCACTCTGTCAGGTAATGTTCTTTGTTTTATTTTATAAGTATTTGAAAATAGTTCTCTTCATCCTGTAATAAGAATTGAGGTTAAAAGACAAAGGAAATGTGAAGAAACAGTTCTGACTTCATCTTCCTACTTATATGCATCACTTAATATGCATCTGTGATTTCACAGCAATTCATCCAAGATTCTCTGAATAAACTGTTCCTTGACAAAATGTTTTAATCACTGCCTCAATTTAGGTAATCCTGGTCATGTCACAAACACTGGAGCCTTAACATTTCCAGGCTCTTGTTTGTCCTCGAAAAGCCAAAGCCTGCTGATATGTTGAATATATCTTCCAACACTGTTAATAGTCACATTTACCAAACTAAAATAGTCATGATTAAAAAGAGAAGTCGTAGCCAGAAATTCCCTATGAGGTCATTATTTGTACATGAAATATTTGCATTAATCTTTTGCTTGAGTAAACGCACCCACACACACGTACACATGCACATACACACACACACACACACACACACACACTTCTTTTTAAAAGACTATTTGTTAGGGTGATTTTAGGTTCACAGCAAAACTGAGAAAAAGGAAGAGATTTCTCATCCTTCTCAGCCTCCCGCTGCCCACGTAGCTTCCCAGTATCAACAGTGACAGAGTGGTGTACTTGTTACAAATGATGACCTGGCATTGTTATATTGTTATCACCTGTTATGTCTTGTGTCTAGATGTCCCCTCAAAGCTGCATTTGATCATAGGTGGGGTTTTTCAGAGGTGCCTGGATCTAAGGAGTGTGATTCTTGGACTGAGGGTGCCCCCCCACCCCGTGTGAACACCGGGGTAGCCTGGAATATAAGGGACAGAAAGAGCTGCTGTTGTCGCTTGCTGTTGCTGTTTCACGCTTTCTGCTTGTCTGCTGCTGCTTCTCGCCTGTTCTGTGGTGCAATGCCCCTCTTTCATGCTCTGCTGCCTTGGAGTCAGTGGATTATGGACTGAAACCTCTACAAACTGTGAACCCAAAATAAACTTTTCCTCTTTTAACTTTGGGTGTCTGGTATTTTTGTCTCAGCAACTAGAAAAGTTACTAAGGCATCACCCTAAGTCCGTAGTTGACATTAGGGTCCACTATTGGTGTTGTACATTCTATAGATTTAGACATATATATAACAACACGATTCACATACACAGTAGTTTCATTGCCCTAGAAATCCTGTGCTTGTCTTATTCATAGCAATCATGAATAACCTTTGGCAATCATGGATCTTTTCACTATCTCCATAGTTTTGCCTTTTCTAGTCTATGATATAGTTGGAATCATAAGGAATGTAGCCTTTTCATAGGCAGGAATGGTGCTAAATGTCTGTAATTTCAGCCCTCTGGTAGGCTGAGGCAGGAGGAGCTATAGTTTGAACCCAGGGCAATTTAGTGATTCAGAAGGACCCTGTCTCAAAAAAATTTTAAAAAGATCTAAA